AAATCACGCAGCAAATCACCCTGTCAGAGCTCCATCACAACACTCTCCTCTTCCCCTCCAGTCCCCTCTCAGAATAATACATATGAGCAAACACATATACTCATTAAAAATGAGTTACAACTTAATGTAAATCATATCCAGATTGCAGTTTCTGAGATCAGAGGCAAGAATGAAATTACTTATGCCAAGACTCAAATAGTTCACAACTTATGTCCCCTCATGAGGAACACTATTTTCAGATGGCATGCTCCAGGCTTCATTTGAAGAAGATCTATTCATGATTACATTTTAATAAAGAACAAGCCATTCCTAGCCATCTCTTATACAGCAGCACTTCTAAAAGCACTCGCACAATACTGTGGTGAAGAAAGAGTGAAAGGAGTTTTCTGGTTTCGTTTTTACATTATTTCATAAGCATACAAAGGACAGTATGCAATGACAACTAAAGAGTTATTCTCTACTTTATTGTAGGAACACATTTTAAAATTAAAAACCATGAACAAATATACAGAATAATTCAGTTTTCATATCAAACAGCTGCAGACTCTGTAACTGAAATAGTGTGTCTAAGGTTATAAATGAAAACTGTTCAGTATCATTCTTTGAGTGACAGGTTAAATTCCTAATCCAGTTATGGTAATGGCCACATTTGTAGTTTAACATAAATTAAGAGCTTAATTATATTTGTGACTATTTTAAACAAAATTACAAATTCCTTTGTACCTGTGAACGTAATTTATAGCAAAGCCACGTTCATTCTCCAAAACAATCTATTTTACACTGCAGCACAACACTGCTCTAATGGTATAATGTAATTCTTGTTGTAGAATGCGGAAAGAGTAGATTCACTGGTAGCACAAAGGTTTTGAAGATAAATGAAGATGCTATTCATTCAGGGGTAATTTCATCTTAGAACTATATGAAAGATGTTTCACTCAGAAACAGTACCTGTATGGCTTGAGATTTAAGCATGTTTTCAGCTACAACGCAATGCTGCTAGATTGATTATGTTGATACTGCATTTCTCATCATGAAGAATTCCAGCTTTTATTCTCTTTAAAAAAGAAGATATTGTCAGATTTTCATTTCAGTACTAAGCCTTTGTTCAAGCCTCAGCAACAAGTTCAAATTTCTGCTAATGTTTTATCTAGAGAAAAACCAAACCACAATTCATACACACACACACACACACACACAAAAAAAAAATTCACAGATCTGTCGAGGGCAATTAATCATGCATGATTTACACATTCATTTGATTACTTGTTGAAGTAAATAAGCAGTTGGTCTGTGTAACACAATTTTAAATTGCCCAAACATCCTTCTGTCATTCAGGACTAAGAACAGGCAATTCTAAATGCACTTTCCTGGAATATATTAAGACCATTTACAAGGACATCAATTGCATAAGCAATTAATACACATCTTAACATAATGAGCTGCAGGCTCTATAACCTCAGGATAGCTAGGAGAATTTCTACAATTCTGAACATTTTAGACAGCCTTTTAAGCAAGACTCTGTGACTACCTGCATAAAGATTTCAGAAGAACCTGTAATAACAGAGGCAGTCTCAACAACCACATTCCTCCGCCTGACAAGTTGGAACAGTGCAGAGAGATGCTGTGCTGCCATTTGAGGTAAGAGGCCTGGCACAGCACAGCTGTATTAACCCCCTCCCTCCTACTCAGCCACACAACTTCCACCCAGGCACTAAACAAAAACGCTTTACCTGTATCAGGCACCAACAGGGAAACAGGGCCCAGACAGGCTGTTTCAGACTGAAATATACTCCCCTATGGTAATTCAGTTTTAATCCATTTAAAACTCCATTTTTCCCCTCCTTGAAGTTGTGGAGTTGTTTTGTTAATGAAATATAGTTGTGTATTCACTTCTGGGTTTTGGTGGCTTTTTTTACTATGATAAGACTGATAAGCAGGAATGCTGTATAATGGAAGCTGTACAATAAATAACAGGAGAATGGTTTTAACCGTGAATCATGATACCCAGGTGGTATATGTGTTTTCATTAACTTTAATGGGAAGAGGGCTGAACATCTCACAAGAACAGCGCCTTCACTCTATATACAACATTCTCTTTCCCATAGCTGGATAATCATTACTGATCAGTATTTTCCCTTGATTTTAATTCATTTGCAGTGAAAATAAAACTTTGTTCAATATCAAGATTTTGCAGCCTAAGATCAAACAAGCTCCGCTTTCAACAGGACAGTGTAACACACTACTTCAAGTTAACAAACAAGGAGTGCAAACACCAAGATGTACCAGAGATAATGCACTAGCTCATCTGAAGTTATATTGCATTTTCATCAAATATAAAGAATCTGAACCCACTAAAAGACAAATGAATTAATTTACCCTGTTTCCAAGAACAATGGGGAGGAGTTAAAAAACAAACACAAATAACAACAACAACAATTCTACCAGAATCTGCAGAGAAGTTCCAAAAGATGAGAGGGATTTTTTTGTTGTTGACTTGGTTGGTTTTTACTATTGAAGGCACCACCACAGTCACTTAGCAATTCCCATAAGACTCTGTCCTCCCCTCTTTTATCAGACATGTAGCTGTAGTCAGAAGTTCAAATTTCATTGCACAATGAGAAGCCATATAAAACAGCAAGGCTCAACCAACTTCCTATATTCAATCTGCAGCCCACACTACTTATTAATTCAAACAAAATACCTGCAACAGTCTGTTACACCTAGACTGAGAGTAACTTGCTCACTGTCTGTTTGATCTGCTCTGTTGACAAGAGGTATATAAGATACCATCCATATTGCAAGGTCATCAATTTTAAAATAGTCAACTTTTACTCCAATTACTTACCATGGCACTGGATTTTATTCTTTGTTTTATATGTAGCTACCTGCATATATGTCCTCCAACAGCTATCCCAGGGCAGCATTATAAAGAGGTGCTGCAAGGAGATTTTGAGAAAGATCTGAAAGACCAGTTGCAGCACATTTAACGTCTTGTTGTGAACCATGTACCTTAAAGATCTGATTGGCGGCTTCTCTTTTGATCATAGGGTCTCAAAATTCGGATGCATTTTCACCACATTGAAGCTCAACATGCCATGAACAAGCTATGTATCTGCTCTGGTGATATTCATGTGCCCCAAATTAGTAACAGGGGAAAAAGGAACTGCAATAGTGGGAAAAAAAGTCCCAGGTACCAGATACTCTTTCTCCTCATATCCCCCATTCCCATTTCTTCCTCAGGAAAAGAACATACCCCACCTCCACCCACCCCAAAAGAAAAACTCACCAGCAAAAAGATAGCCAGTAAAAAGATAAAAAGGCTCTCATCAGAATAAGAAGTACACTTTAAAACAGAGGAACTCAGCAATTTCCTTATGCAAAACACACCAGTATATTTAAAGCTTTCTGATCACTAAGCTAGTAATACATAACTACAGTCCTAGTATTATTTAAAAACGGAGCAAAGACACCAAGGATAGCTTTGCAGTCACAACCATGTTACACAGATTCTTCAAAATAGATATGATTCCCCAATGCAAAATTGTTCTATAAAGTTTAAGATCAGATATCTACCAGAGCCATATTTATAGTCATGGCTACTATCAGCTGTCCAGCTAGAGAATATTGAAGAAAAACAAGCATTTTTAATATATTATAGTTAATTTATCATCTAAGTGACATGTGTAGGATAACAATGGACTGGAAACATTAAAGCAAAATGATGCATTAGAAAAGGAAATTTTAGGGTTATGTTGTTGCATCCTTTTTGTGTGTTTTAAATACAAGCCACACCTACAGGTATTGTTATGGTATGGATTGCATTTAATTCATGAGAACCACAAAAAAAACCCCAGTTGCTGGAGTAAAAAGGAACACCAAGATCAAGTGAGTAACAGAAACACTTATTTGCATTACTGTGAACCATGATACAAAACACACTGCCCAAACAAACAAGCACAGCCCCATTTATTTGGTGTATCAAAGATGACTCCTCTTTCTAGCAAAGGATAAAACGATCTTCTTGCTGTGACAGAATTTAGTCTTAGAGGTATTTCCTAGATTGCCAGACTGGAAGGAAAAACGAGATCCTGGAAGTAGTTACCATGATCAAATGATCCTAACCTGCTTACTGGTAATGTCACTTGGAGTCTCCAAGTGTCCCACTCTGGCTAAATGAGATGTGACGTTTTTGGATAGTCCTTAAAGACTGCTTGCTCTAGCTTCTCTGAGCTAGACCACACACAAAAAGCCAGCAGCAGAGGAACCGTGCAACTCCCTACTATGCAAAGCAGCAGCAAAGCTGCTGCGAAGGACAGGAACCTTACAGATATCCTGCTCACCACCACTTCTGACAGTCAGGCCCTCTCTACTAATGGGGAAAACATCCCCTTGAGATTTGGGTTTACTAAACCTAACAGGTTAATGGGGTTTACACAGACTTCACAGCCACAGAGGTGCTTTTAAGTCAATTAGAGATGCAAGTTTGTCAATTATATGGACAATTTCTAAAAACCACATTGGATCTCAACTCTGTATATATGACGAAATTGAGAAAACCTATCAGACACATAGAGATTTGATGCCCACAGCATGAAGCAAATACTCCTCAAGTCTGGGGCAGTTTTAGCCTTAAGAATTAAATAATCAGCAAGCATCATGCAAGATGTTATAAGACAAAGTAGCATACCAAGTGACAAAAGATGGAAACCATGCACAGTTCCCAGAGTAGGTAGACAAGCAGACATTGTACAAACATAGACCAATATAAATACAAGTACAAGCAGCAGTACTCTGTATAGGATTCTCAAAATCTCCATGTCCTTTAGGCTCTGGCACTTTAGAGACAATAAAGTACATCAGATACAGGAAATAAGTAATTGATTTTGACAGAAATAAATCTTAAATTATTCATTTAGCTAAATACATTTACTTTAGCTGAATAATCATTGAAAAAATAAAATGGAATTAGCATCTTTAGTTTAGAAAATATGACAGTTTACCTGAACAGCAAGGGAAGATGCATTATCAGAAAGCAAAATTTGTTCCTCTGTTGAAAGAAAAAAAAAACAACACACACAATTACAAAAAACAGTGACATTTAGCTACTGACCTGTAACTGTAAGTCATTCTGGGTTGCATTTCCTATGCATAAAACAAGGAGCGCATATATAATTATTATGCAGCCGGACTAGAAAACCTGTGATATGAATATTAAAAAAAAGAAAGAGAAAAAAGAATACCAGGAATATTTCTCCTGCAAATGCAATTGCATTTATCATACATTACCACCAACGTACAATAAAAAAATACAACTAAAAACCAAATGCTTGAGTTTTATGCCAATTACTCTCCTCCTAATCAAAGTTAAATAAAACCGCATCTTCATAACTCCTCTGGCTAAAAAGTAAAAGCATTCAGAAACCTATAAAAGCGGCTTGCAGTTAATATTGCACACTGTGTCTAGGTCTGTCACACAAAAGAAAGATGACAAGTTCACTGCAATAAAAATTCCATGCTTAGAAGACTAGGGCTGCTACCTATTAGTCTTCATTACTTTGCAGTCTTTTGACAACTGTAGCAGGCTGCTGAGCCCCAAATGGGGGCCATAATGTGATCTGATGATATATGAAGAGCTGCTAAAGGGAGCCTGAACCATCCTAGCCTATACATTTTAACAGTTCCTTTTTACTGAGAGCCCACTTTACCACAAGACTTCAAAAATCTGCTGCCTCAGCTATTGGTGCAGTAAATCTGCCAACTGTGCCTGCAACCACATCATTTTACACTGCCTACAGCAGCCAATATAATGAGTCAATAATAAACCAAGGACCTTATAGGCCATGAATAGCTGGTTTATATTGGCAGATGCAAGCGTAGCTAAAACCTCTGACCAGACAAACAACACAAAGGACTCTTTTAACAGTTTCTGTGCTTCCTTGCAGTTAATTATCTTAGTGCATATTTAATGTGTTTTCTAAAAATAATCATTAATTTCAAAAACCAGTGTACCCACCCTTCAGTTGCTGATACAACGCAGCATTTTCAGGCCAAGGCTCTGCGGCTGTGGAAAGAAAAGGAATTAATTAAGCAAGCCAAACAACAATGCACTTGCAGATGCTAACTGAACACAAACATTACCTAGAGCAAGAGCAAAAACTTCAAAGATGCTGATGCAAGATTTAGCCTGCCCTAAAAACATCCCATTGTCACTCTCTTCCCCCATACTTCTCCTGCTCCCAGGGGGACAACACAGAGCAGAAAACTAAGTCCCAAAATTTAAAGTTGCAAGAAAATCTAAAATTCAAGCTACCTTACAGAATGGCCTTGTAATTCTCAAGCAGCTAAAGCAGCTATTTTCCCTCCACCATAAAGACATCCTTGTGCACATTCCCATCAGAACTCTGGCCACTCTCAACAGCAACTATTTCTTAAGGTATTAAACAAAGCATTCTGGAAAGAACAGAACAAGACACAGAACAGGGAGGCACAAACCTCCAAACCCAGTGTGAAGAATGCTTTGAGGAAATGGAAAAACTTTTTTGCCTTTTAAAGTTGTGTCCTCACTGGTCCTATAGAACACCCACAGCACCAGGTACTCAGACATGTCAAACCTACCCACAAGGATGACTGGGACTACCTACTGCTATAAATGATGTACTGGTCAACCGTAAAATAGGAATGTCAATATACATTAAAAAAACTGCATCATCAGTTGTTCAAAACAGTTGAACAGTTGTTAAAAATAAAGGAAATAAGACAATCACATCTTCCAGTTGAGAACCGCTGCACTTAATCATACACCACTCGAATTTATGGGAAGGCAAAAATAATAATCAGTACAGATTTACTGTTAATAGTAGCATTAAGATAACAGGTCATCACATTGTTTTGTCTCCATTACATTCCTTGTTAATGTCTGATTACAAATCTATTTTTAAATACCAGTTTAAACCTTGCATTCTAACCAAACTAACTACTTGTAAACAAAATTAATGCTCTAATCACATGATTTTTTTTTTAAAGCAATGATGTCTATTAATAAATAGCTATGCATGGTTCAAACAGAAATACACCACTGGCTTCAGAAGGTCATTCTTTGTGTCTTCACCCTTAGAATGCAAAGAAAAAAAAATGCACAATTATCTAGCTATCATTCTTTTTGGATACTCATGAAGTATTAACTTTTATGGAAGTCATACAGAACTGTAAAGCTTGTAATACTGTACACAGTTTTGCAAAGGTCACTGCCTCTAACATTAAGGCACAGAGCTATACTAGTATGGGCATGAGAAAGCAATTAATCACATTTAAGTGTCATGAAAAAATGTTTTATGTTTTATTGTAGCAGTTATTGGTTTTACACCCCTCCATTAAAGTTTTGCCCTGGAGTAAAAATTTTTGAGGTGGAAGTACATTTACTTCTTTAAATAAAAAGAGACTAAGATAGAATTTGTGGTACTACAGCCTTAACTGTTTAAAATAATTCATCTAATATATATTTCTTCAGGTCCACTGAAGTCTTGCAAGAGCAAATGGAATGAGGAAATTAAGGATGTTATTACTATACTTTAGCAAACTTACCAGTGCCAGACTCTGACACAGTTACAGAAGTTACTAAGTCATGAAGGTACACTGATCTCGTAAATACTCCAGCCAACCAGGGAAAACATCCTTTTTACATGCCCAAAACAGTACAGAGAACTCCAAATTGCATGAGCCCACTTCGAAAATTTTTGCCTGACCCTCTTCAGACTGAAATGTCAGATTTATATCTAAAACTCTTGGATTCTGGCCCAAACTGGAAGTGGCCACACAAGCACATGGCTGAAATATTTCAGGCCCACAAAAATCAAGGGAACTTTTCATTTTCCAACAAAAGTGCTAGGTATATCTTAAGAAATTCAAACACTAATTTCAGTCTGACCCCGGCACATATGCAGCCATGGAGGTACACGTACATATGTAACAGCTTCTTGGCATGCAGAATTCAAAACTACACCACTGCTAAGGCATGCCATACCCATGCTATAAACTGAAACGCAAGTAGATTTTTTTTTTTTTTTTACAACTTGCTTGTCCTTATCGGCTTAAATTTCCCTTCCACGTGCTACTGATCACATACAGATTTTCATGAACCACATCTGTTGACCCTAATTTCATTAGTCATGATATGAAGTCTTTATCCCAGTCTCAGTATATAGGAGCACATGCCAACTTGAGGGAAAGAAAGGACAAGTGTATTTAAAATCTTTGCATTCACTCATTCACAGTTGAGTTGTATACTAGTACATGTCTTTGGACAAGTAAATGAAATGAGGACAAACAGCCACACAAAAATCTCAGCCTTTGTTATCAGTACACCTTAATCTCCAAATTTCAGCAGTTCTAAGAAAACGATATGAATAATATCCCCTGCACTTGGCATCTGACAGTCTCCAGAGCGAGGTCAGAATCCTGAATGTTTTTGGACAAGATAGACACATGCTCACGAGCCTTCAACTGAGGCCTTCGGTTCTTTGTACACAGACCACGTAAGAGAACTGATTTTGCTATCACTGTACAGACTGGGTTTTAAAACGATCAACTTCACATATTATTACTCATATCCTGGAAAAAATATTCTGCAGCATGCATTCAGAATTGCATGCAGCAGATTGTGTTCCAGAATACCAGAGGTACACACAAAGCCTGTGCAATCCTCTGGAAATTAAAAAATTCAATACCCACTCACTACCTGTCTCATACCTTCCACCTTCTACTCACACTCTTTCCACCAAGACATTTAGAGTATTAAATATCTTTTTCTGATGGAGCAAGAAGTTTAAATACACACTGCTACATGAGAGGCCCAGGCTCATAAGGTGCAATCTAAATTCAAGTATCAGCTCCCAAGCCACCTTCGATTAGTTGTAAGGTGAAAACATGCAGCTAAGGGAGACCAGAACATAGCTGGGGGAAGAGAGGTGGAAGAATCACTAAAGGGATGTCATATCCCTCCACAAGAAGAGAAAGTGTGTAACATCTTTAATGTACGGCAATGACTCTTGCCTTATGAATGTAGGTGAAGACATAATTTGTAGAATAATAGGCACTAATATTACACGCTGCTTCAGTTCTGTCATATTTCCAATCCATCAAGTTGATTAATGCTATAATAACTCCTCACAAACTTATCATTTGTGCACTAATGAAGTCAAATCCAGTTTATCCTTCGGCAACTATAATCTTCTGGTCTGTAAATGTTCGTTTCCCTGCTAACCATGGCTACTGTGGCGCTAGGTATATAACGAGAAAATTAACAAATGTGATGTCAATTCAGTTTCAGAAGCTTTCAACACAGAATTACATTTATGTGTTAGATCCTACACAGACATTTTTATCATTAGCTGCTCACAGGATGAAATAACTGCCTGGAAGTATGCCTTACAGGAATAGCTTCTCTACATATCTTAAGAATAAGGAACTATTTGGTTCTTCCTTCTGCCTCCATAATCAGAATTACTATTGTGTGGTTTTCAATGGGGCTGTCTCTCAGGCTTGCAGTCTTTAGTAATAGTTGTTTTCCCACCCTACCAAAACTTTTCCCATACTTACCAAATTCAAATATTTTGTCTTTCATGTGGATTGTCTGCTGTTTGTTCAGGACCAGCAAAGCTCATATGGTTGTCTTTCCCTACTTCTCCTCTACCGCACTGCTTGTATTAATGCCAGTTACAGGAAACGACCATCTGCAGATCAGTCCTCCCTGCTAAATTTGTCTAAAATGAGTTTGAATTCAAAATTTATTGGGAAGTGAGAATTAAAGGCTAAGATGGACACAGAAAGCATCACTGCATAAGCCTTGTTATCCTAGGAGCTGAGAATGTGGCAAATGCAGCATCACAACAACCAGAGAAGTCAAATGGAAAGTAAACCATCTACATAAAATATTCTTTGGTTTTGTGGATGACTAAAAATGCATGAAAATTTCACTAAGCTCAACATGTTTGTTAGTCAAAGTGTTTTACTTATTAACAGCTTAGCATAGAAAATGCAGATTTCAAAGTGTTAACAGGGTTCTTAGGTGTCAAATTAGACTTTGAGAAGAAAATTCTGTGAACTGGTGTGTTGCATGTTCCCACTGGAGTTTTAATTACTCAGGTTTATAAAATTTATTTAAACAGATTCCTAGACTCCTCACCTGTCACGTCAGAGAATGACTCAGAAAATACATCATTTCTGCTCTCACAAAAAGCTTCCAAACACAGAATGAGTCATGACAGTAACATCAAATTCTTTGCCACTAAAAATGTATTGCATTAGGTGCATTTTTTTCAGATTTTGTGGTGAAATGTTTTACTTGCGCAACATTAAGACCAGAAACAGATTTTCAAATAGCATTTTGATTTCAACATTTCCAGATGTTTCAGACTGTCACTTCAATTAGACTTTATCCACCCAAATACTTTTGGAACAGCAAGAGAGAAGAACACACAAATGCTGTAAAAAGAGATACCTAAGAGCACTGGACCCCACTATCAGCAGGGGATCAGCAGCTCACCTGAGGCCTACGCACATCTTGGCTCCAACTAATGCTATCAAAACCAAACACACTATACTTGCACAGAGGTAATTTTAATTCAAAGAATGAGAGGTTGCAATAACATTCTCCCAGTGAAGTCTGTGTGAGAGGAAACACCACATTCCCAAGATGCTCTACAGTGCCTCAGCCCCACCAATATCTTGTCCAAGCTGTTCGGAGTCTCTTCACAAGTACACATAAGTTGGTTTCAGCTCCTACACTCTGAATTACTGGGAAACTATTCATCTTGTGTCAGTGCTGCCTGGATGGATGGGTGAAACAGACATTTTCATCCACCTTCCCCAAGCAGCTTCACAATGATCAAAGAGATATAATGAAATAAATGGTTTACAGTTATGCCTTTAATCCTGTTAGTTAAAAAAATAAAGACTCTGAAAATGAGAAGACATGAAATACTTTGCATGTTAAATTGTGGAATACGCTAATCAACAATTTAGCCATTTCAGCAGTCTAGTACAAATAGCCAGTTTCAAGTAGTAGGGTATGCGGTGTGGTTTGCCCTGCTAGTCTGCCACTCATTTAGCACACTTTTCATCAGGCTGCAGCATTCCTGAATACCAGCCACAGACAAATGCCAGAGACCTCTGGATTCAGGCATCAAGATGCTCCCTCCTGTGTAGGAAATCAAGACATCAAGAGGTTAAAATTTCTGTAGGAAAACACTCAACTTGAAATTAGGCTCTTCCCAGATCTTAGAAATACCATAGAATTTTGGTGTGGCAAGAACACTTATAGAAGACAGTGCAGACAGA